ACATATTTTAATTTCTGGAAATATATAATAGCAATCATTTGAAATGTCTTTGCCCCAATTACCAAGTGACCTGGTAACCACTCTGATCCTAACAGTGCTGGCCTAATGTGCAAAACACGAAACAAGGGCATGCCTTGAATAGTAAGGATTTAATACAACTCTCTCTGCCCTTTAAAAGCTAAGATCTGTTTTAATGGGTACAAAATGGAAGGGGTGAATAGTTTAAGGCAAGAGAAATCCATATTTTCCCAGCATGTGGTCTAAGATCTCAATGATTAACTTTCAATACTCACACGGCATAGTTTCAGTACTAACATAGCATAGCTTTCTCTCTCAAATTCAGCCTGAAAATATTAGAATCAAGGAAAGCTTGATATAAAGTGATATAAATAGATAAGAAATAGATCCTCTATTATACTTACTTATATTTAATCATACTAGGCAGTTTTATGTCTTTGCCTTACAATAAATCCCCATTGTCTGAACACAAAACACACTGCATCTTTCTGCTGGGCTGAAGTGAAAAATTAATAACTGAGGAACAGGATTTGGAATTATTTGTCCCATATCACAGCTAGAGGGAGAAAGACCAAGGAACTAATATAATTTCTGTGCTAGGGAGAGAAAACAAAGGGGAGGGGCAGGGAAGGCCAGTAAGAAGGGAATGTGATTTGAAGACAAGTATTGAGTAAAAGAGAAAAGGGTAAGCCTCAAAGAATGATAGCAAGAGGGAAAGGAAATTTGAAGAAAAGATACCACTTCACAAGCAAAAAGTTAGGTCCTTAAAAGATTCCTTCTGTATTGGTTTTCTGCTGAGTGGCAATAAATGAGCCTTCTACCTTAGTCAAATTATTGACTAATTATTCTAGGGCCAAGCAGGGACAGTCAGCCAGCATCTGGGGAACACACAGGGGAGAACTGCACTGCTCCAGAAGGGCTCCCAGGAGGCCTGTTCCTCAGGTTGATGTACCTTGTGTCTCCAGATCAGCTGATTCACATGCATGGGAGCTGGCTGAAATATAAAATATGTACTTATACTGTAAAATTAGGAGCCAAGAATCACAAGAGACATCTAAGCAGCTCTTATTCATCAGGTAACACAGGTTAGACATCTGCACACAGGTCAATGCAGCAGTTAGACAGGGACTCATAAAAACTCTATTAAGTCAATGCAAAGCTCTCATTTCCTTCAATAGTGTTTGGAGAAGTATCATGGCTTTCAAACAATGAGGGGAGCCGACTTCTGCCATCACTCTGTAGGCTCTGCTCACCACCAGAGAAGTCAGAGAGAAACTCCCATTACTGTCAGCAGTGATAGGGCTGAGACCTCTGTCCTTAAACTTGAGCATGGAGTTCCAGTGTGCTGCCCACAAAAGGCTTCAAGAAACCATCATCCATGCCCTGTGCCTTCTCCACGCTGCACTGCACTCCCAGATACTCATCAGCATGCTTTTGCCTCAAAAGGTACAACAAAAAGTGCTGAAAATGCACAGTAAAAAAAAGAAGGGGTATAGTTTTAAGCTCAGAAGGAGTTGGTACATCACCTGTCACAGATTATCAGAGGTGTCCTGTATCTGTAAGATCTAGTGGCTCACACATTAGTCTGCTTCACAGCTTCCTGCAGCTCCTGCCATCTGCCTGGAAGTAGCCATCTTCCCAGAAAAGCTGGCAAGATGATGCCACGTAAAATGAACAGTATTGGGGGAGCAAGCTCATGTATACTGTCGTATTTTGAGGCTTGCAGATGGCCAAGTGAACAACAGCTCCCAATGTCATCTCTAGGTAAAAAGAGCTAGCACACTTTTAGATGGATTATTATCAAGTAGCAAAGGGACATATTGCATCAATCTGAGATTGAGACTGAGTCAGGGTCTTTTTGTTAAGCAGTATCATTCCTGCATTACCATTTCTGCCTGCTTGCAAACAGCTGATTCGAGCCCTCACCTGAAATGCAAGCCCCCATACGGACATGTCCAAATGTGGACATGTATATGGACATGTAAATGTGGGCATGGAAATGTATACTCACCTGCAGGACTTGTGTTATTCTGACAAACTGAAATAAAGCTGCACTGGCAAAAGCACAGTTTTACTAACACAAGTTGCATCTGTACTAAGGGCATTTTGCCATCATATTCCATCAGTATTTTGGCTGGAAAATGTCATTTTTAAACACAGATTACATCTAGAGTCATTATGGTTAGTTTCATTTAACGTTTTTAAAATAAAATCGGGAATTATCAGATGAGTATTGCACTGAGAGGTCATTATGTCCGACTATGGCCGCAGAAAGCCTGAGACTTTGTCTCTGCAGATGTGAATTACCCTGTGCACCTCCGTGAGGATTCAGTGTTACTTCCCTCCAACTTCGCTAAAAATTAAAGCCCAGGAAACTACAAGGAGGATCATTCTGTTAACATCCCACTACCAACTCCAAGCAGCAACTCATTTCAGAACTAGGTGTTGGTAACTCTGAAAGATTCCAAATTACTACTTTTGCTGCTGGTCAAACCAAGCCTAAGAAGCTCAACAGGGCACTTGAGGCATAGCCCAGGTTAACAAGCCTGAGTAGTCCTAGAGAGCGGCCACAAATATGTTTAAAATCTCTGCAAGAAGTTAAGTTTAAGGAACTGAAAGATACCAGCTTTTAGAAAGATTATTAACTGATTCACCAGCAGGAGTAAGTAAAGCTTTCAAAAGCAATACTGCCTTTCTATACCATATGTTTTTTCTATTTCAATCCCTTATCTTTTTCCCTTCCAGCCCATTTCACATCATTGTCCAATATCCTGCTTTGGTGCTGCCTTCAACACAGCCTGCCAGATAGAGCAACCAGCTCTATCTAGAATTCCCCCTCTCTCTTCCTGCATGCTGGAAAACAGAGAGCAGCAAGGAATGCTTTTTGAAACCTGTCTTACAAAAGAAAAGAAGACCAAGGGACTGAATGTGTTAATTTATTTGAAAATAAGGCAGGTAAGTTCTTGTTGCATGGTTCAGACTACCTACCCTGAAGACAGCTGCTAAAGAAAGGCTTTTATCTATGGGAGGCATAACAGGAACCAGAAACCTGAAGTTGGAAAAATACAATGAAAAACAAACACATTTCAATAATGGAAAAAAATAGCCACTGAAAGGCATCACAAAGGAGGGCAGCTCACTGCCCTTCCTTCTATAGAAAGAGCTGGAAGGTCAGCTTCTTAATTTAATATCTGCTGGGTACAAACTTCCAGTAATCGCTGCATGTGTAAGGTGGGGTTTATTGCTGCTCCTTTAAAGATTCCTCTCCTAAACCGTGGATAAAGCAGCACTACAGTTAGTGAATTTTTATGGTAGACAGAGGCAGAAGTGCTTAGAGCTGAGAGGAATCTAGCCAATCTAACTCTAAACCTTTTGGATCTTCACATACCTGGCCCTCAGAAGTCTTGCTCAACAAGGAGGATGATGGTAAGTTCCAAACTTCAAAACAGTCTGTTCACAGAGAAGGTACAGAAGGGACAACAAATTTTGTATTTTTACAAACTATAAATTAATGATTTTGGGAAAAGAAAACAAAGCAGAGGATGCACTGGTGTCACAGTGAGCACTCTCATGGGGACAAGACCCAGATGCAGCCCCAAGGTTTGTGTTGAAGAAACCCATTCTTGCAGAAAAATGCTGCAGAGAAATTATAAAAGGAATTTTATCTGCCCTCACTAAATATGGAGAATGTGACTAGAGATGCCATCTCAAATGAAAATAAAAACAGCAACAACAAAAAGACCTTAAAAGAGTCAGAATAGCAAACATGTAACTTTTCCCCATTAACTTGGCAAGAACAAACAAGGCACTTCAACAAAGCCCATTGGTAGTACCAGAAATTAAATGCCCCGATTGCTCTGATAACACCATCTATCAAGGGACAGGCAGTCCTGGGACCTGGGACTTCCATTCTGAAACAGGTTTTGCAGTCCTGTGCTTCATGATATTTAGTGCAGTTCCCAATGTTATTTAAAGTCCTCATGCAGAAACGAAGCACTGACAAAACCCTGTATGTCAAGATAAATTTTCAGGTGCCAAAGTCACGTGCGAACTTCATGTCAGGTCCTTCCATCTCATACCCCCTATATCAGCAGGCTAGATTGCTTGATCTGCCAAGAATCCTTATGTCATATGCATTTATAGCTCAAATCTGTACTTTCTGTCAATGGCAATATTGACAGAAAGACAAACTTTGTTCTAGTCCATAAAAGGGGCTTTGTCTAGGAAATCTGGGGCCTTATGTTCTCTGCTGACCATGGGGGATTCCTGGGATGATGTAACTGCAATAACATCTTTTTGAAAATCTATTTCACTGGACTACCAGTGAAAAAAAGGCCTCTGGCTGACTCCCTCCTTCTCTCACCCTTTTAGGGAATGACCTTAAGAAGGGGGAAAGATCTATTTACTGTCTGCTGTCATCCTGGACTTCAGAAAACCCGCTACCGCTCACGCTGTGTGAAGAATTATAGATGAAAAACTTTTACCACTCCCTTTTGCTTTAAGCTGTTCGGCGCTCAGGCACCAGCTGGGAGCCTGCGGCCGCCACTCGCAGCCGGGGCCGAGAGGCGCCCCAGGGACCGGAGCAGGTGCCGGGGCCGGCGAGGCTCGCTCACCGCAGCCCTCCCGCCGACGGGCCGCCAGGCTGCCAGAGCCCACCCGCGGGCAGGAATGCCGGCTCGCCCAGCCGGGGATGCCCGCTCGCCCGGCCGAGATGTTCGCTCGCCCAGCCGGGATGCCAGGGATGCCCGGTAGCCCAGCCGGGGATGCCCGCTCGCCCAGCCGGGATGCCCGCTCTCCCGGCCGGGCCGCCTGCCCGGGGAGCGCCTCCGGCGGCCGCACCAGGCTGCGCGGCCGCTGCGCATCCCGCGGAGCGACTCCCGCCCCGCTCCTCCGCCGCCGACGCCGGGCCCAAGGGCAGCCCCCACCGCCCCTCCGGTCCGGCCCCGCCGCGTCCTGGCCCCGCCGCCCCGCGGGTGCCTCACCTCCGCCGGCGCGGGAGATGCGGAGCGGCTCCGGCGCCTTGCAGCCCTCACCGAGCCCTCGCCGCCGGGGGAGCAGAGGGATGCCCCGCTGACTGAAGGGCTGCTGCCAGTAGCTGCGCCCTGCCGAGCCGAGCCGAGCCGAGCCGTGCCGAGCCGCCCGCCCCTGCGGCAGGACCGCCGCCGCCGGCTGAATATGCTGTCTCACGGTGGACAGGCTCCTCCCGAGAGCTGCTGCTGCCGCTTTCCTCCTCCCGCCTCCTCCTCCTCCTCCTCCGCCCGCGCGCCCCCGGTACACACACCCCCGCCGCCGCCCGTGGGACCGGGGCGGGGCCGCGGCTGGCGCGGGGCAGGTGGCGGCGGCGGGGCCGCCTCGGGGTCCCCGCCCGGCCCCACAGCAACTCCGGCCTGAAGAGCGCCCGCTCGGCTCCGCGATGCTCCCCTCGCTGGGCTCGCCCCGGGAGCAACCGAGCCGCCAGCTTCCCGGCTGTCAGCACGACTCCGGCATCACCGCCAGCCCCGTGACAGCCCGGCAGCATCCACCGCCACCCCACAGCATCCTGACACCATCGCTTGGCAGCAGCTGTCAGCCCCACCACAGCCGCGGCAGCATCCCCACCGCCATCCCCACGGCAGCAGCCGGCAGCCCCACAAAGGGCAGCCATCGCCTCTAAGCTGCCTAGGATATCCCCCAGGCCAGCCTCACCAGCACCCCCACGGCAGCCGGGCCATCCATCAGCCCCGGCCAACTGTCAAGGCACCAGGCTCCTGCTTGGTCCTGTCCCTTTCTGGAAGAACAGGGAAACTCCAGAACAGATGCTGTCATGGTTAAATAAGGACAAGACTGCCCAAAGGCAGAGGTTTTGTTTTGCCCCTGTTTTCTCACACCATTTGTGGGGACAGGTACCAGACAGGAGGGCCTGACTTCCAGCATTGGCCCTGCTTCTCTCCACACACTGACATATCCATCTCCTGGGGGAGAGAGCTGTTGGGGATCGTCCATGTTCCTGCCAAATACCACCCACCTCCAGTGCAGATAACCCAGCTTTCCACTCCCTTATTCCACACAGGTTTGCTGCCCCGAACATGAGGAAAACACGCACCTTTTGGTACCATGGTTTATTCTGTAAAACCTGATGTCCTGGACATACTGTTGTCCATCCCTCTGGTCCAAGAGGTACCCACCAGAACCCCGTCCCTGGAACCTCATCTCTTGTTTTCTTTTGGTGGGAAAAATTAATTGCAGCCACTGTCATTTGAGGTCTAGGGCCTGTGCTGGGAAGAGTGAGGTATGCCCAGGCCACTGGGAAGCCATAAAGTGTTCACATCACCTCCAGCTCCCAGACTGTGCCTGGCCAGGAGACAAGGAATCCTGAGGAGGAGCAAAAGCAAAAACCATTGCTGGTGCAGATACAGTAATGAAATAACAGTTACTCAATTTAATTGGTGTTGAATCAGGAAAGATTCATCTTTTGCTCTCCTGTGAAGTCCTTAAAGAGCAACATCTTCTGCTTCTGCAGGTTGGAGCATGTGGGGGAAAACTCTGTGGTTTTAAATGCACAATTTGAAAAGTTTTGAGTTAGTTGCATTTAGATTGCAACTCTTTATTAAAACAAGGCCCTTTCAATATCAGACACCCCAAACTGAACTTCAGAAACTGATTTTTGCTTTTAAAAGTGTTGGAGTGTTGGCCTTAGCTTTAACATAAATGCCATAGGGTTTGTTTAGGTTCCGTTGAATTGCATGTCACTTGCAAATTTCCTGCAAACTCAGCAGATTGCTTTAAATTATTCCTGACCAAAGAGAGCCTTGGAGTCATTTAATATTCCTGAAATGACAGATGAGACTGGTTCTCCATAGGGCCTGATGAAATCCTGCTATTGTTAAGATGCTGTCCTATCCATATAGCCATGATGCCATGGTATCACACACATATCATGACATCACATTGTATGGTGATACCAGGCACCCTAATGTATGTCATAAATGGGTTTCCAGAGCTTGTTAAGCCTTAATCTGCTTTGTTACAGATTAATGGCATTTTGTGTTCTAGTAATAACTACATGAGATATTTCTTTAAAAAAATCCTGTAAACCCAAGTTCAGTGGGGACACAATTTTGATATCTCTTATCACAGATTTTATCTGTTGTCACATTTGCCAGAGGTGATTAAGTCTTTTGAAAGTACAAAAATAAAGAATGGAAATGTATGTGTCAAGGAAAAATTGTTTAAAAATCCTCATCAATAAAAATGAGAGATTTAGTAAAATTATTATTTTAAAATGTCTACTTTAACAGAGGAGTTCAGAAATAACTTCAGTGGCCAGGGTAGTATATTAACAAACTCCCAAATTTCTCCTCAGAATAAACTGTTGTAAGGAAATTTGGAGAGAAGCAATCCTAGATAGTATAGGCTAGGCGTTCCTACAAGTAATGACCTCCAGGAACTCAAGAAAAATTTATGAGCAGCCCAGTTAAGGAGGTCTCTGAAGGAATAACAAATTTCCCTAGAAGAGATGCTCTGTCCTCTTTGACCTCAATCTCACCATTTTCTTCTCTAATCTTCCACAGCAAAAGGTCTCACCATTTTTGTGGATTTCTTCCTCTAGGCATGCAAATTCTGTTGTCACTTATTTTACAAGGCAAAATTAGTGGCAACAGTCAATGTCTTTCATACACCAAGAAGATATGATTATATTCCCTTTTCAAAACAAAATAGTTACGATCAATAATGTATTTGTAACTCCTTTTAATGAAAAATATCCAGTCATTTCAATATACCCCACTAATTTTACATTTTCCCATTAAGCAGAAATCTATAATATTATCCAACTCAATATATTCTGCTAGTAGCATTTTCTGATTACGTATTCTTAGTCATCAGGTGAAAGTGCAGTAGCACAGAGCTAAGATTATTTTCAAAACTCTTATGTACTCATTCTGTGAGTTCAGAAGGTGGTTATTGTAGCCCTAGATAGCTTTATGAGAACAACAGAGGGCAAACTGGTCAGCAATTACAGACATCTGACAAGCTGCCTTCCCTGCAGCAGAGGTCAGTTGTACATGGACACACAGCCACCATGCTGTCATCTGAAGAGAAATCAAAGATTAAGGGAAAGTTTGAGGTCCATCCCAGACTATGGATTGTGTAGAAAAAGGCTATTGTTAAAATTACAGAAATTCATTGTTTGCCCATCTCCCCTCCTCTAGCTTACACACATGTAAAATGTAGAGGTTTCTGTGTACATTAATAAGTGCAATGTGTGGTTAATTGCTAGATTGGAAAAGTTCAAGGGAAAATAATTTGACATGTTTTCTTTTTGAAGTTACTTTATATAAAGTTGTTCACATTTAAGTTATTAATGAAGATGGGTATAAGTTCCTCTGGCAAATTAATAACTGTTTATGATGCAGCACAAGACAAATAATTAGTAATAATTAGTAGTGCATTGCCTTTCCATGCCTCAGGCACCAGCAACTCCTACATCACAGCGGGCGTTAATAAATGAGCAAACCCTCTAGGAAGTTTTTGCCACTTGAAGGTTAAAAATTAATTTCAAGGCAGACATTTCTAAGGCTTAGTGGAAATGGCAACGCATTTTAGACACTTTGCATGGTAGGCATAACCTAGGTTTGGCAAATAACAGAGGATGTTACAAAATGCCTTCCAGCTTTTCAAAATCAATGATTTAAACAGAAGATCAAAAGGCAGAATGAAAGTTTTAGATAAAGAAAGGAATATCACTTCTGAAGTCAGATTTACTGCTACAGCAGTAAAGTCACTATATGGCACTATTCCACATGGCTTCAGAAATCTTTCCTTCACAAGTGAACTAGTTAGTTACTCATGTTAAGAAATGTATGGGTGCTTGCTCAGTTAAAAACTTAATAGGAAAGTATTGGAGAGCTTGTTTTACTGTTTGCTGAAATCAGTTAGATCTCCGAGCAGATCACTGAGCTGAGATTTCCACAAGTCTGAATATCCACAATACATTCAAAACTTAAAAGAAAGATTTAAATGTATCTGGTACACAGTCACTAATAATTCCTCTGTCAATTGATTTCCTATTGGGAGACGGTCAGTTCCAAGATCTTTGCCAAAACACATGTACAAAGCTGAAAAACTCCCCCATGTCTTAAAAAGGATAAATTCTTTCTTGGAAAAAAATCAGTAATAAGAGATGATGTATACAAGTAGAAGGCAAAGGGAGATCTGTGGCAGATGGGTGAGTTCCACGCTGTTCTGGACTTGGGTTACTCTCCAAACATGTTGCAACTGTGTGCTCCTAGAAACAAGTATTTTAGTGACAGGCTCTTTTCTAAGCCTTTTTTCTTGCTTTGTTACTCATTTTCCTACAACATTGTCACCAAAAATTGTTGTCCTAAAATTCAACAGTTCTGTACATCTGCAACAGGAATCATTAACTTGACTTCACATCTGAGACTCTGCCTGTTAAAACATGTAATAGCCCAGGCTTCTGATTTTGCACTTGTAACCAAAGTACAGAAATGGCCTGCCAGAAAGAAGGGCTCCAGAAATTTCGTTACTGCCTTTGTAAATAGCAGGTGCTTGCCATGTAATGCAACCAATTCCTTTTATTTGAAAAGATTCAGTATACTGGGAAGGGCTTGGAAACATGTCAGCAAAGCAGATAACCTGGGAAGGAAGTGGAACATTCTGAGAGAACTTCCTGGCAATGGTCATGCAGACTCAGCAGCATGGAGAGGACTTCAGGCTTGAAGGGTTTTACTGTGCTCATGTTCCGAATTACTGGGGAAGCTGCAAAAGGAGAGCTCCACAGCTTGAGTGGCAGTGCCTGGAAGTGAAATGGGCTTCAGGCAGGACTGGACAGTTTAGGGAACACAGACTCTGAAATGCTCTCCTAAAAACCAAACTACACCATTGTCTCCACTCACCTCTGTTTTGAGTTCCTGAGAACTCAACAGTTTTATTGAAGACTACAAAAGAAATGTCTGAGTTTACAGAATTACCAGCAGCACCCATCTATCTTTACAATATTTGTGCTCTTTTTATAAAAGGTTGTCTCATTTCCCCACACCACCTTTGGTTTGAAGTCCACACCTTTATATTTGATTTAAAACAACAACAATTTGCATTTTTGCAAACACCAAAGGATGCTACTCCTTTATAGGATTGCTGAGACCTCCCAAATATTAACTTGAACCTTAGCTTTAACAAAATTAA